AAGACCAAAAATTCGGTCCAGAATGATCGCCACATATTTGAATCGCACCACCGAGACCAAAGCCGAAAAATTGAAAATGAGAAAAGAAAATAAAATGCGAATAAATATGCTGAAACTAAAAGGCAACTTGCATTTGCTCGAAGACAATTGCTCAATAAAGGCAGTCGATTTCAATTAAATTTTTACTGGCAATATAGTTAGGGTCTAACCAATTGAAGGTTACACCTCTGAATCATTCAAGTATCTGGTGAGTAATGCACTATGCAAATCTGCGTGCGAAGGAGAGAGGCACTGATGAATACCTTAAACGTGTTTCCAATTATGCAAATCTCTTCATAACATAACTTACTTAGCCGATAACCAAGTTTGGGATACTTCCAGTAATAAGTTTTCAATTAAAAAATATTTGATAAGGGGCCGGAGAACACCCAAGTTGGTTAGTGCTGCGTGACTTAATTGCTTTTCGTTGTTGTGCTGCGATTGGCGCTAATTGAAGACAACTTGTTGGGCAGCTGGCGATGGTGATGGTGGTCATTGGTTACTCGATACTGGAAACTGGTGACCGGTGGTCAGCAGTCGGAGCCAACTGCAACCTGTCCCCCGGCAGCGAACAAACTTTGTCATTGATGATTACTGTGCACGGAGAAAAATGAGTTTAAAAATGCAGTTTAACCAGTTGATAAAACTTTATGTTTAGGTTTCCTACAATTTTTAAATTTTTATTAGAAGTTTAATGAAAATTATCCTAATTTATTGACCATTCTAGCATATTTTGCCTTTTTTTTATATTTACAATTTTTGATGCCACTTAAAATAATATTTAGGCAATTCATCTAGTTTGCCATTAAAAAAAAAAAATTTTTTTTTTTATTTGGGCTTTTACAAGTGAAATAATATAAACATATTTAAAAAATATTTAAATTGCTAAATGTTATTAATTAAAAGAAGCCTTTTTTACCTTTATAACCTTTTTCGTATAAAAAATATTATTCTAAGCGTTCGAAATTAAGTTACAAATTTTAACTAGATGAAAGTCAAATTTTTAATATTTTTGCAATTATACATATATAAATAAAGTTGTATTGTGTAAATTTGAAAAATACATTTTCCATTCCATATCATAACATTTTTATATGTATATTAATATTAAATATTTATATTTATCTTATATAGCAAATACCTTTTTAAGATAGATAATAGGTATTTTAGATACAACTGACGTGATCATGAAAATTTTATTCATCGTAAACAGGTTAGTTTCGTTAAGCATTTTTTCTCAGTACAATAGGCCCGAAGCCACCAGCTCAAGAATTATGCGTGGCCCCCAGTTCCCAGAGCCACGTTGTCTGGCGTTGTCATTTCCATTTTGTTGATTTTCCTGTTCACTTTGCACTAATCGATTTTCAATATATTTACGCTTAGACGGCATTCACAAGCCATATAGTACAACAATGTTTAGGCCACTGGGGCAGCGCTTTTGTTTCTGGTTTTATGCATATTCAAAATTATTCAAAAAATTACGCAAGTTTTGATAAATTGTTTTCTGAACATTTTTGGCGTGAGTCTGCTTAACCATAATACTATGGAATTATTCACTTGTTTGCATTCCAAGAATTTCAATAGAAATTGATCCAAATTTTTGAGGGTGGAAATTAAGACATTTCAATTGCTGTCACTTAACACCAAGTTCAAGTTCAATTAGGGAGCTTCGTTTGTGTCGTTTGATTCCCAAAAATTATAAACGATCAATGCCGGAATAAAACGTGTTACATTTTTATTTTTACATTTCTGGAACTTCTCTGACTCAACATCACAAAAGTCGCAGATATCTGAATCATCTGGGCCTTACTAGCCATTCTTATCGATGTGAATAAACGGAATCCGCTACCTGAATCACCAAAACAATTCTTGCAGCCATGAGTAATTTGAAAATTGTGTTTAGAATATTAGTTTTCGTTTTCAATAAACTCATCATTTGTGAATAATTGACAGAACTAACGACAGATGTGGGCCATAAACCTTTTTGCACGGCATCATCAATAATTGATTGAGCATATTTCATATGCGCTGGCTAAGGCTAATTAATCAATTTTTCTCTAACTGGCAGAAAGTAATTGCATAGAAATTGATCAAAATGGTTCGCGCTTTGCGAATTCGCAAATAACACGTATACGACGCATGGGAAATGAAAAATCTCTCTTTCCAACCCTCCTCCCTCCCCCCTCCCCATCGATGTGCAGCGAAGAGTGAAATTCAATTTGCTTCAACGAAAAAAAAAAAAGGAAAATGAGCGAAATAGTTTCGGTCACAAAATCGCAACCCGTAATTGCATTTCGCTTTAAAGAGGCTTTAAAATTATGCAAAACGCATTTAAGCTGCAAGCACGAACCACGACGACCATCCATGTCAATGACAGATACCAATCCTCTGGCCGCCACCCACCACCCACCGCACACCGCACTCCGCCCCTTTGGCCCCTCGGAAACGGCAGCAATTACAGCCACAACAAGTGAAGCGAAATTTGGCAAGAGCAAAGAAACCCCCGCTCCCAATTGTCGCCCCTTATCCAATCATGTTGCACTTGGACAAAATAGGATTCTCAAGCATACAACAATATTACAAAATAAGTTAAGGGTAAAAAAAAAAAAATTTTGGTTTTAGATTAATTTATTTTATCCAATTATTCAGAATATTTTTGTTTGTAGCCACACTCCATTATCAAAAATATACTCAACAAAACAAGAATTATTGTATTAAAACAAATACAGATTCTTTAGCACAAGTTTCTTTTCTTGGCTTACAAATTATTTTAATTTGTTTTAAGTCTAATTTTAATATCTTATTAATCGTTTAAATCTGGTTAAGCTAGCTCTGAATATATAAAATAAAAATTTAGTGGGCCTACATAAACGTTATTTACCTTTTGAATTAACTATTATTTTACAATTACAACGGTTTGGTTTACAAATATATTTATTTTTCTGTAATATATTGTTTGTCCAAAAAGGAAAATATTTTTCCAGTGTACTGCTCAGATTGTTGCAACTTGCGAGTGCAGTGGCTGTTGCTTCGATGGCTCTGCCAATTCTTGTGCATATATAATTTTATGCTTATGCTCATGTTTGCCTTATGGAAATGTGAGATTTTACTGCATAAGAAAAAAACACCAGCTATGCAAAAAAGGGGAAAGGAAAACACAGGCGACTTTGGACTTTGAGCTTTCCCGTATTTTTAATGCAAATGATGCGAAATGTATGGAAAGAATTTGGTTTGGACATACGACAAAGTTCAATTGTATCAAATTGGCGAAAAACGAATGCAAAAAACCATACGGCGGTCAGAAAAATAAACGAAAATCGAGTGCGACTCCATCAATCATAACCATCAATCAGAAGCGGTCGGAGTAAAGCGAAACTTTGAAGTTTGCGGCGTGCCGCATCCAGAGAAGAGCAATTTTGTGGTCCATTTCAATTAGAACACAGCAACGAGCAGGCCACAAAATGTGGCAAACAAATAGGCAAATGTATATATTATATTATTTGCAACGAGAGTTCGCAATGTTTTAGAAATTTGGCCAAATAAATGAACCTTTCACAGACCAAACAATTTTTAAAAATTTCGTAATTGCCCAGATCTGATCTCACTTTTCACTTGAATGGTATAAATATGTTCTTGTTATAGACGAGTGCGAACTGATGTCACTGCCACTTATAAATTGCAGTTGGCAATGGGGAAAATATGCAGCGAATAATCACAAATTCACAACGGAAATGAGACATTGCTTTGGCCCATTGTAAAAATTGTGATTGACAGACAAGGTCTTGGAAAAATCTTAATATCAAAAGAATTTACAGAAATATAAACGTTATCTTATCGCAATGCAGGGGAAATTAAAGGTTACACTTGTTGATAAGAATAAATGCAATATTTGTTTAACCCATTTCGAATACTTGTATATCCTAATCTAAATATTTTTTGTGATTCAGACTTTTAAATTCATAAAATTAATTATTTGTGACATACACTTTAGATGGGTTTAAAGTTGACATGTGGTCCGGAATCTTTAAGTCCACCCATCTGCAGGCAGTGCCAAATATTCAGTATATGCAGATATGCTAACGAGCAGACAAACAGATTTTGGCATGCTTGAAAGAAAGCTATTTTCGGAGCTATTTTAAAACGCAGACAGACCATAAATTAATGGAGGGGGAATCACAAAAAGTCACTTGAGCACGGAAGCCAAAATTCAGACTTATAATAATGGTTTAAAAGTATTTTAAAGAAACAGTTGCTTTTATCAGATATTTTATATATATTTTTACAACTGAAAATATAGTTTGTTATATTGTTGAACTTATAGGAACTGTCACCTTACCTACACATCTTATCAATAACTTTAAGGTATACCCATTTAACAACTCTTTATAGAAAACATTTGCGGCCAGCCCTTTCAAATTTATTACCTGTCTGCCTAAAATTAGTAAGCCTAGATTATTAATTCAAGAGATCATTGTATTTGCTTTAAAATACCTTTACAAACACTTTTTGTGGTTCCCCTACAAAAACTAAAGAATGATGTACGTTAGATTATTCATTGGGAGATTAGCATTTCGTGCTGAAACCGATAGCCAAAATTTTGTATAACTGGCATTGAAAAGATGATTGCAAAAACTGGGCATCAATTAAATGAATTTCACACGTATTTTGAAACTGTCAGATGTGTCAGTGTCGCGTCATTTGTCTCATTAAGCCATTATTTCCGCTTTTGATACAAATGACACTTCTCAAGAGCAATCTTGGCTCAATGTGTCGGGTGCCATGAATGACATCATGGATTGCTCTGCGATCGTTGTGCGAATACTATAGTACTATATGTCTCAAGCGCCGCAGATCGCGCTCAATGACGCTGTCTCCATTAATCACAATCGTAAATATCAGAATCTCCGGCGACAACATCATCAATTGCAGCCGTACCACAACCCACACATAAAGATCACATATGCACTGGCACGAGGGCGAATTTCAATTTTATATAACATTTCGCGACATCTGATGGATGACTGGTGGATGGATGTGGTGGCGAAGGAGTCAATCAGTGGGCCAGGCGCTCGCAGACATTCGATTTAAACTGGTGCTAGTACGGGATGTTGGGATGGGGACCGGGTCATCTGTCTGGTCTGCGGTTTTATTGACGCTACTTCATAGCTCTGTCCTTGCCGGCACCAAAATACAGCACAGACCAGGACTTGTCCGGCATATCGTAACCAATATTCCGCTGGTATACGCTGCAAAAAAATTAAAAATAAAATGGAAGTTATAGCCTATTATAAGCGCTTAATTAAAGAGCTACAAATAATGATTATTAAAGTGCATTTTAAATCAACAATTCAATTCATTAGAAACGGAATTCAAGAAACAATCATCTAATCAAACTGTCCTTATTCTCCATAATTGTAATTCATTATTTAACAAGAAAGGAAAGCTAACTTCGGGCGGAGCCGAAGTTGATATACCCTTGCAGAATATTCTATAAATTATATTCTCCAAAATTATTCATATGATGCATTCTTAATACTCATAAAAAGTCCCAACTTCCTAACTTTAAAAACACCAAAGTTATGTCATTTCCAATCGTTCAGTTATATGGCAGATATAAGATATAGTCGGCCGATCCTTATAAAATTTGGTAGGTCGGATTGATTGGCCAAAAATAAAACCCATAGAAAATCCCAACTTCCTAACTTTACAAACACCAAAGCTATGGCATTTCCGATCAATCAGTTATATGGCGGCTATAGGATATAGTCGTCCGATCCTTATGAAATTTGGCAGGTCGGATTGATTATCCAAAAATAAAACCCATAGCAAATCCCAACTTCCTAACTTTAAAAACACCAAAGTTATGGCTTTTCCGATCGTTCAGTTATATGGCAGCTATATGATATAGTGGCCCGATCAGGCTCGTTCCGACTTATATACTACCTGCAATAGAAAGACAACTTTTGGGAAAGTTTCAAGCAGATAGCTTTAAAACTGAGGGACTAGTTTGCGTAGAAACGGACGGACAGACGGACAGACGGACAGACGGACAGACGGACAGACGGACAGACGGACGGACAGACGGACGGACAGACGGACAGACGGACATGGCTAGATCGACTCTCCTGGTGATGCTGATCAAGAATATATATACTTTATAGGGTCGCAAATGTCTCCTTCACTGCGTTGCAAACTTTTGACTGAAATTATAATACCCTCTGCAAGGGTATAAAAAGAAACAAAATTATGATTATGTTCCCTGTTCTTAATAAACAAATAAAATAGGGCAAAAATATTGTAATACTGTTTCTAATTAAAATTCAATTATAATCATTAAATATCTTTCGATTACTTTTAAAACATTAAAAACCAGTATAAACTGGTAAAAATTTTATTATATTTTTATACCCTTGCAGAGGGTATTATAATTTTGGTCAGAAGTTTGTAACGCAGTGAAGGAGACGTTTCCGACCCTATAAAGTATATATATTCTTGATCAGGATCAATAGGGGAGTCGATATAGCCATGTCCGTCTGTCCGTCTGTCCGTCCGTCCGTCTGTCCGTCTGTCCGTCTGTTTCAATACCGTTTGCGAGCTCAGTTTAAAAGCTAGCGATCTGAAACTTTCACACTCGTCCTAAAACAAGTGTACGCAGATCAAGTTTGAAAACCGCCCCGATCGGATGTCTATATCCTATAGCTCCCATAGGAACAATCGGATATAACTTGCAAGAATGGAAGATATTTCGCGCAGTGTAAAAGCTATTGACATAAATCTTTCCAAATCGTATTTTTTATGCGTACCTTGATCTATATCCTATAGCTCCCATAGGAACAAAAGGGTAAAATCGGTTAAAATTTAATGATTTTTAGGATATTTCGCGCAGTATACAAGCTATTGACATGAATCTTTCCAAATCGTATTTTTTTATGCATACCTTGATCAGGGTAAAAGCGCGTGGCGATCGGACGTCTATATCCTATAGCTCTCATAGGAACAAAAGGGTAAAATCGGTTAATATTTAATGATTTTTAGGATATTTCGCGCAGTATACAAGCTATTGACATGAATCTTTCCAAATTGTATTTTTTTATGCATACATTGATCAAGGTGAAGGCGCGTGCCGATCGGACGTCTATATCCTATAGCCCCCATAGGAACAATAGGGTGAAATCGGTCCAAATTTGATGATTATCAGAATATTTCGCGAAGTGTGTAAGCTACTATCATAAATTTTTCCAATTCTTATTTATTTACGCATATCTTGATTAGGGTAAAAGCGCTTGCCGCTCGGAAGTCTATATCTTAAAGGAGATAGGAAAAATTGTTAAAGGCTGCGAAAGTATCCCTTTTGTATATGACATTTTTGCAGTATAAAAGCAATTGACTTGAAACGATGCAAATCTAGTTTACTTATGTATACCTTATTCCTTTCGCTACTTTTTCACTTTTAGCAATTTCGTCAAAGTCTGCAAGGGTATTAAAACTTCGGCTTGCCGAAGTTAGCTTCCGTCCTCGTTTTATATGCATTTTTGAGCATACAATATTGGTTTTAATAAGAATAGCACAACGAGCAGCTTTAGGAGCTTTACGACCTTGAGTTTTTGGTGATTTTTGACATCCCCTTTCTGAATGTAATGAATTCGTCATAAAACAAGAGAGAACGCTATAGTCGGGTGCCCCGACTATCAGATACCCGTTACTCAGGTAAAGGGAGTGCGAGGGAGATGGAGATAGAAACTTTGATCACGCATAACTTTTTAACGAATGGTCCGATTTGAAAAATTTCTTCTACATTTCGATAGGTATTGATAAACACAATAAAACTGCATTTTTACTTTTCCAAAATATTTAAATTTTTAAAATCGTATTTAAGCAATTGTGGGCGTTAAAGGGGGCGTGGCACCTTTTTGAAACAAACTTGCGCTGCGTAGGAACTCCTAGAATCTGCATGCAAAATGTCAATCTTCTAGCTTTTATAGTTTCCGAGATCTCAGCGTTCATACGGACGGACAGACGGAAAGACGGACAGACGGACAGACGGACATGGCTATATCGACTCGGCTAGTGACCCTGAACAAGAATATATATACTTTATAGGGTCGGAAACGCTTCCTTCTAGCTGTTACATACTTTTGCACGAATACAATATACCCTTTTACTCTACGAGTAACGGGTATAACAATCCTTGAAGACATAATGGACGTCCGTTATCTTTTGCAAGACAGCACACTTATCCTTTTGAAATTTAAATATGAAACATACTTGGTATCCGAATTGGCCAATCTATGGCGCTGATGTTCCGGAATACAGGTCTGCTTGGGAGTCGGCTTCAGCTCCAGGCCGAAGTTGCTCTCCGTGGGATCCATGGTCGCCAGTTTGTTGTTGCCGCTGGAGCCACCGCTGCTGGAACCCCCGCACTTCTTGCCGAACTGAGACGACATGGTCGGCACCTCACTTATCTTGGTTTTGGGCCGAAAGAGGGGAAAAACGTTTACTTGAAGACTCAATTTACAAATAGAGTGAAATTTAAAAATCTAAAATTTACGTTCCCTAGGTGACACACAAAAAATAAAATATATTTTGCGTATTTTTCGTGATTGACAACTGAGTGAGTGCTTTCGATGTAAATAGTGTTTTAAGACAGAAAAGGCAAAGTTTTAAACTTGTAAAGAAACATTGTTTTATAAAAATATGCTCAGATCTTTATTATTAAATAAAAATAACTATCATTATTTTTTTGGGCTATTCACTCTGATAAATACTTATGGGATAACTTCCCGAACAAGCTCAAGCCAATAAACTATTTATTGATTTAAACGCTTCAAATCCCAGCTATAAAGGTCCCAAAAAAGAAGGCAACAGAATATTCCGAATATTTTGGAGGACGTTGCTCATGAAGCCTAAAAGTATGCCAGCTTTTTGAGAGAACTTTGCCTTCCAAAAAAATTTCTGTTTGCCGGAAAAATGTAACTTTTTTAAAAAAGCTAATCTTGTCTTTTTCTATATTACTAATACAACGTTAAATTTTTCACTTCATATTTAATAATTAGATTCATTCAGAATTTTAAGCAAATGCATGGAAATGGTATTAAAATATATCTTTATCTACCTGAGTTTTATATTTTATGCATTTATTATTTTGTTTTGTAAGTATTTTGGTTTTATAAATTCGTCGAAATCATGTGAGTTTTATAAACACCTTTAAACATTTTTTTAACATTTCTAATTAATTTATTTCCATGTACATATTATTTTAAAAGCTTATAATCCCGCCCAATTTCAATTATTAAAAATGACAAGACCACATGGTAAAAAAAAGGTATTAGTATCTTGTATTTGGTGAAATCATCCAATCACTGGTAAAATTTTGCCTTCGTTTGTGACTACTCCTCAGTAGACCTGCACCTGGATGGCCAGGAATTTGCGTCCTTTGTCGGTCATCCGCTTGATCATACTCATGGGCACCATCATAGAGCAGCGACTGCGACAGATGGGACCCATCTCGTTGGGTGCCCGGATATCGTATATATGGGTGGTATTAACACTGACGCAATCCGCCAAATCAGAACCTAGGGTGGACCACATCGAAACCGTCGCCATGAGTTTTATATTCCGCGGCACCAATCCGGTTAGCCAGAGAACAAAGAACTTTTTACCGCCGCCTGGTCTCTTCCGTTTAATGGCTCGTGCCGACCGAACTCCAAAGGATGCCAAAACGGTCCTCAACCGGGTGCGGGCACTCATCACCAGGACGGGCAGTAGATCGCACAGTTCCCTGCCCTTGGTGTCGAATACCTTATCCCTCACCATATAAAGCATATGACATTTGGGCTGGTCCATCAGCGTCGTATTCGTATCCAGAAAGAAGGTCTTGGTCTCCCTCGCCTTAATCCGCTCCATGGTCAAGGATCGGTGGTCGAGCAGGAGGTGGCTATTGAAATCCGAGACAAAGGACATCCGCCTGCAATCGGAATCGGGGCAGCGGACTGGCGATCGTGAAATATCGAGTTCCTTGACTTTCTCAGGCTGGGTCACATACGGCTTCTTCTTGATCAGCCTGATCACCTCCTTCTCCTCGCAGGCCACCGTGGAGAAATGAGCTTCAGGGGCTTTCTGCTGGACTTTCCTCGCATCCTCCAGAGTATTGATACGCTTCACTGCCTCCAGGGGATCATGGACAACGCCACCGAAGCTGGCACGCTGCGCCGAGGACGCCAGGACCTGGATGCTGCGAGTTTTGCTCAATGGCTTCGATCGCTGGAAATTATCCTTGGGTTCGTGGGCGTTCGGCATGTAAAAGTCGAAGGTATCAAGATTGGCAAACGGATGTTTCAGCTGATATGGCAGAGGTTTATATATTTTCCTAAAGTTTTTTACTTTACTTTCTCTCTCCATTGATGAAGCACTCTTTGTGCTGGACTCGATCTCTAAGTCCTCATCGCTTTCAGTCCCGCTGTCTGTTTCAGTTTCTAGAGGCGGAGCAGTGGGCTTGTGGCTGTCCAGATACTCCCGATCCTGATCTTGATCCTTTTCGACCTTCCAACTCTTAAAATGCGGCAAATCCTGTTCGTGTAGGGTTTTTAGGAGGGTTTCAAGCTTATCTTTCTTTTCCAACCTTTTGCCTTCTATTTGTTCATCCTTTTGTCTTTTGTGTACAAGTCGTGTAAACGTGAGATGAGCCCCGCCGCTTTCTCGAAGGCTTCGTCCTGACTGCGATCTTCGGTGTCTTCTCTCCAGGTCAGCCAGTTCCATTTGGGTCTCCTCGAATTCCGCCTCGAGCCTCGATCGCATTGAGGTTAACCTTCTCATCTGCAGCCGCTTCTCGACGAGTCTCTTCTGGATGTTCACATTGCTGGGAGCCTGGCTGGTGGTCTCTGAACTGTTTGGGTAACTGCCGGGCGAGGTTCGCTCCGTGGAGTGGTTTGAGGTCTCCGGTCCGGAGAAATCATTAGTAGCATAGCGACGCTTCATTTTCTTTACCTCTTTAAGGGAAATACCCGGACGAGGAATTCCTGCGTCTTGATCCGTACTAAATTTGGGTTTAGTGGAGGTAGCAGGTTCTTGACTCGTCTTGACTCGATTCTTAAAGGTTTTGGTATACGGATTAACCGGTGAAAGACGTCGATCTTGTTCGCGTGGCAATTCTGGGCTCAGATGACTGGGCGGCGTGGAACGCAAGAGCTCGATACCCTTGACCTGCTCCGATTTCCGACTTCGGGCCAAAGATGGGTTTCTTTTCTCCGCTCTTACAGGACTTGAGTTGCGAATGGTTTTCTCATCATCGCTCTGGGAACGCGGACTCAATGTAGAAATCACATTGAGTGGAGTTATGGGTGGCGGGGGTCCATCCTCTTCTTGACTACGTTGATTCCGGCTGAAAAGGCCATGTCTGTTGGGCAGAGTAGTGAAGGATCCCCCGCCTTTCGGAGGATCCATGGCCTCGACGGCCCAGTTATTCAGATGGTTAGCCAGACTGGCGGCCTGTTTGTTCTGGATAATCGTACGAGGATGGAGAACACCTCTAAAGAAAGCAGCTGATCCCTTAAATGGAACCGAATCGATGGAGTCCACACTATTGGTAATAAGTGGCTGAACGAAATTAGTGTCAACGTGGCTCTTTATAAAGAAGGTCAGTTCCCCGCAGGAGTTGCACCAGCTGGAGGCGCCCTCTATGTAATCCTCTCCAGCGGATTGGAACTGTTCGTCGGCGCGAAGATTTAAGTTGCTTCTTTGATGACCGCAGCGACTGCACTCGTACATACTCTATCCAGACCGGGATGATGAAAATCCAATAAAAACACTTATAAAACAATTTACAAAAGCACTACCGAAAAATATACATAAAAACAGTTTTTGGTTCGTTTCCCACCAAGGGGAGTGTAAACGATGTGAAAGTGATAAAATGGTTACAGATCTGTGTTGAGTTTTCACAACATGACAACTGGATGAAAAATAAAATAATAAAATAAACTTTTTATCATTAAATATATATTTATAAGAAGCAAACAAATAAAAAGTAATAAAACCAAATTCCAAAATCTTATATTGGCCTATATTTATAAATATTTTGAAATAAAGCATTTCAAAAAAACTAAAAGGTACAGCCATACAATTAAAGATATGGTAATTTCTATTTTTAAAATGTTACCTCTATTTTATGCAAATCTTAAGAAAACAGCAATCACAATTATAAATTGTAGACTTAAGGTTGTATGGTATTTCTTGCATGATTGGGTATTTGCTTTTCCGGTCCGGCCCCTTGGAGACACGGAGACATCTTAGGTCAGGTGCTGGACCCATCCATTGACCGTGAAATCCGCACCCGAAGGTCAAGAGGGGACGTGCAAAATTTGCAGAGTGAAAAGCAAATTCGGGGAACCTTGGGTCCCCAGACCAGCCATGCTCCAGTTTATACGCCTCGAGCCGGAGCTCTCGAGCGCAATTGAGATTGTCAAACGCCCCGTCAAGTGGCACCTGTCAGCAGGTGAAGACTGAAATAAAGAGAAGACACGCTGAAAATGGATAAACAAGCTCTTTTTAATGGTCATGATTGAATACCCTGTTTCAGCCTATAAAATATATTTAAACTGTTGATTTTAAAACAGTTAATAACCAACGTACAACGGCTTAATACTATACTAAACTAAAATTCAAATTTTCAGTACCCATCTAAAATATAAAATTATTTACCATTTTAAATATAAATCGCTTTAATACAGCTATTTTGATTACCATATAAATGTAATTTGGTTATAAACCTTTACGTAAAACAAATTGTTGTTATATTAATTATAAGCTATTGGGTATAAAATATGACTTGAAAATGCTTATTTCCTTTCAAAAGTATTCTAATAAAACTTTTTATATTAAAAAACACCATATAAGGAAATTAAACTTAAAAGTATATTTTGTATTTTATATTCAGAATTTACTTATATATTAATTGTGCCTTTTTGTTATTTTGTATACAACTCTTCTTAACTCTTTAGTGCCATCAGTATAATCTCTTCAATTTATAAACTTAAAGTAATTAATTTAATTTAAAAAGTATTTGTTTATATAATACTAATAGTTTTGTCTAAAGATTTCCCTAAAATAATAATAGTTGGACAATCAGACCAAATAAACAAACTGCTTTGGATTGTTTTCTTTAAATATATTTTAAAACTTCCTTGTGGGCATTAAAAAAAGTAATTACCCTATGCAAGAGTACGAAAATAGCCAAAAGCGGCTTAAACTGAGTCCAATTGAGGCTTCGCTATGGCTTGACTTGGATCGGATGGGATCGGATTGCTTTGGTTTGCTTGGCGGCCAGTGACGATGATTCAGCTCGAATATTTGGTCATTTAGGCATTTCGAATGTTTGTTTGTTGATTGTTTGTTGAGATGCGCTAAAAAAAAACCAAAGCTCAAAACCGACGACAAATCGATGGTCTTCGCAAATAACGGAACCCGCCTCGAAGCCCACTGTTTGAACTTATTGACTGGCCCACCCGAAGGTCTCCTCTGAAGCTGTGCCCGTATAAATATCATTACTTCCATCTGTTCCGACATCAGACGCTCCACAGCCAAACATCCAACAAGATGGTAAGCATTCGCAATGGGTATCATATGCCCCAAAAGAAGGATTACTAGGAGTATAGGTATAGCACTAGAAAGACGTCAGAAAAAGTGGTCTTAAATTTTAGATTTCAATATTTAAATATTTTACCAATTACATTTTTGCTCTACATATTTTAGTAAGCAATATATTCCGAAAAAACAATAAATTAAAAAATCTCATAAATGTTGCATTACAATACCAACTTTAATTATGGCAAGTTTAAAAAATCATCGCTCAGAAAAATAAAACTTTTTAAATATCCTTATAGCATCCCTATTTAAAAGAGAGGAGATAAACAAAATTAAATATCATTAAATAACTATTAAGAAACACAGATTCTTTTTTTATAAGAGTTCTGTTTAAGGACCATTTTTATATAAGTTGCAAAAAAAATTTTTTTTTTTTAAATATGAGCAAATAAATACATTTTCATTCCATTTAGAAAACCTTCTGCCTGACCCTCGCTTTGTGCGCCTGCCTGGCCGCCGCTGATGTGTCGCACCTGCAGCCCAGCAGCAGCTACCTTCCGCCTGCTCGTCCGGAGCACGCTGTGTCCATGAGCATCGAGCAGCAGGAGCTGCGCGAACTTCCCGAACAGGTGGAGTACATGCGGCCGAATGAACAGGGTCAGATGGAGGCGATGCCCAGCAGCCTGCTCACTCCTCCCGCTCCAGCGGATCAGGAGGAAGCCCTGCCCTCCACACGCTACCTGCCCCCTGCTCCTGCACCTGCACCAGTTCCAGTTCCCGTCCAGATGGATGCCGAGCCTATTATGATGCCCCAGATGGAGATGATGGCTCCCGAGGAAGCCGTCATGGAGAAGCTCCAGCAGCAGGAAGAGCCCGCCCATCGTTACCTGCCGCCCGCACCAGTTCCCCAGGAGCAGCTCACCTACCAGCAATACCAGGAGCAGATGCAGCAGTACCAGATGCAGGAGCAGCAGCAGCAGCAGCAACAGGTGGAGGATCAGCCCCAGGAACAGCAGCCTCAGCAATTCCAGGATCAGCCAGCCGAGGAGCAGCAGATGCCCTACATCCTGGATGTCCAGCAGCCAATGGCTCCATCCGATCTGGAGACCCAGGGGCAACTGGAGCCAGAGCCCGCCCACGAACTCCGTGCCGATGGCTATCACTACAAACAGGCCGAGGAACAGCTGCGTCTGCGGCATTAAGTCATCCAGCATTGAGTCACCGCCTGACGACATCGAGTCATCGGACCATGCGTCAACCGATTGTTGTTAAATGTTTAGCTTAGTTCTAAGAGACCCGATTAAATTTCGACTTTGAAGAGAATCTGCTTTTGATTAATTCTGGCTGGGTTCCATTAGTCACGAAGCGGGTAAAGCGAATACATTCTATTTATGGAAATCTTGAAACAAGATTATCAGACATCAAAATTAAATTATTTTTAAGCACGCTTTGGACTTTAACTATATGTTATGCCTTAAACAATTTCAAAAATAATGAAATTGAGCATTCCATTATCAAAATTAATTAAGGTAAGCTATGGATCGAAAAAAAAGGTTGCACTTCCTTTCTGCAAATCTAAAGTAGCAATGCTGATGAAGGGGTAAACTAGAATCAAACCACATTAAAAAAACCACAAATCTAAATTAGCAATGCAGATGAAAAAGTAAACTAGAAGCAAAACACTTTAAAAAAGGATTTCAATAGGTAAAGTTAGAGAGCTTTAGTTAGAGAGCTTTATTACTTAAAGCTTAGCATTTATTTTATAGAAATATAAAAACCTCAAGCCCCACTTAAACCATCCCGAACAATGATTCATTGAAAATAAAATGTTTTGCTTTTTTATTCCCTTTTCAAAAGATATTATCCAAACAAGTAGTAACTAATTTTCAGCGTCTGCCCCATTGAATACCAAACAAATCTCCTGCTCCCCTTCAAGGTCCGCCCTCTTCGCCGCCCTCCTCCTCCTCGTTCTCCACGGTGGCTCCTTCGCGCAGCATCTCCACCTTGTGGATGCTGAAGTCGATGTTGTAGAAGGGCACGTTCAGGGTGACCACCACGCAGTAGAGAAGCACCTGGAGATGGCGGGTGCGCAGCATGTAGGAGGCGCCCTGTTGCTTGGGGAACAGTGGGTGGTCCTTCTCCTGGCAGTCGTACATGAAGTATCCGCCATCGTGACCGGGACAGAAACCAATGGCCAGCGATCGCTTTCGCACACTGACTATCCCGAACTGATAGTGGCTGAAGAAGTAGATCAGAGCCTCGGAAAGGTTCATCCGGTTGAAAGTGGGAACGCGGTACAGTTTTCCGTAGCACACATGCTCGATGTGCACCACAAAGTTGATGGTGTCCATGGAGCAGTCGATGTTCAGGTTCTCCAGCGAGAACTCGTAGTCCTCCTTGCTGATCTGGTCGATGCTCTCCTTGAAGTAGGTGTTTCCGCTCACCACGATGGTGTCCAGGAGATGGGGACTCCAGTCCATCAGCCGGTAGACACTGGCCGCACAACAGGCCATCACATAGCAGCCCAGATACTGACGGCCCCTCACATCGTCCTCGAAGACAGGAGCCTCCGGATGCAGGTTGCCCCACAGAGACCACAAGCGACCCTCGATCTCGATGTCAAACTTCTTGATCTTGCTGATGGGCAGGTTGCGATACTTGCCCGCCGTATTCCGCCGATTGAGCCTGCTCCAGACGGGCAGACAGTTCTCCAGCTCCAACCATCCCAGCGATTCGTTGGTGGCACAGATCTCGTACTCGGGTCTACCGTACTGCTTATTGGTGCAGGTCATCGGTATGGAGAGATCGGTGAGCAGCTGCAGGATTCTCGCATTCGGTGCCGCCTTCTTGTGCGATAGTACATCCACAACGAAGAACTTGTACAGGTTCTTCTCCTTCCAGTCTTTGGCTGCACTGCGATCATCGATGTACTTGATCAGGGAATCCACATCGTAGAGGAGCACCCAGGAGGCGGTGTTTCTTTCGGGCCAGCGCTTTGGACCCTTGCGGCATCGTTTCTTCTTCTTTCCTCCCTCCTCGTCACCCTCGTCCTCCTGCTCCTCATCTCCTCCAGGTTTCTCCATACTACCATATGGCTCGAACAGGTGGAAGAACTCGTCGTGGTAGATGGCATAGCTTCCATTGGGCGTAAAGATTATCATGTATTTGCGCACATTCAGCAACTTGCCAAACTTCTTCTTGAAGAGCATGAGACCCACATCCGGAGAACCGGGTTTCTTCACCGGCGTTGGAGTCCACATTCCCGCCGCCTCAAAGCACCGGATCCAGATGTCGAACTCATAATCGTCGATGGTCACGTGGCGCACCACGCGTTCGAACACCGATTCCAGT